AGACATGGGAGTGCCAACACATCTGATAGTCCTGATGACGAATCTGTACTCAGCACTGTGATCATTCAGAGTCACTTTGAACACCACAAATCCAAAAAATCAGCACTTGTAGTTTTCGGGCATTTTTTTTTTCTTGGAATAAATAGCTTCAGAACCGTGTTCAACAAGTGTGAACGGCCGGACCTGAATTGCATTTTACTGGAGGGGCTGCTCAGCTCTTCCTCTTCCAGAGAGAAGAGCTCTGGGAGCTCTTTATAGCCGGTGCGAGAGATAGTGAGTGGGTGAGCAAGAAAGAGTGCAAGCAGGGCTGCCAACAGGTGAGAAAGCCCAGCTGCTCAGCCTCTATTGCCCCTGCCACCCAGAGGAGCCTGGATTGGGTCCCTCCCACCCCGGAGCAGTGCAGATGGCACTAGTGGGAACTACTAGTGCCATTGCTGCAATTCATTGCCATAGTGGGAACTGCGCCTCGGCCTCAATCGCTTCAGCCACCGGTGTCAACATGATTCGCGAACCCATTTAAAAGTAGGAATGCCCCCCCCCGTGACTTGTTAGAAAAGACAATAATGCTGGGTAAAATTTGGAAAGGCAGTTGAAAAAGAGGAAGATCATATTACAGGTAGATTGACATAAATGAGTCAAGGAAGCCACAGCCCTGAATTTGCAAGGCCTGAGCAGGGCTGTTGATGGCAGGGTGACTTGGAGGTCTCTCATTCAATCATGGGTTGAGGCAGATTTGGCAGCAACTAGCAACAAAGAAGGGAAACCTGCTTAGGATCCCAGTTGTTGTGTGCCTTCAGGTTGTTTCTGACTTATGGTGACCTTATCCTGGGGTTTTCTTGGCAAGATTTGTTCAGAGGGGGGTTGCCATTGCCTTCCTCTGAGGCTGAGAGAGAGTGACTTTCTGAATGACATCCAGTGGGTTTCCATGGCTGAGCAGAGATTTGAACCCTGGTCTCTACAATGCTCAAACCACTACACCGCAATGGTTCTTAAGATTCCAGTAGTCATCTCCTATTTTGTTACTGAGTAGGAATTCTCTTAAGAAAACATTAGGGTTTTTCCCCTCCTGTATTTGTTCCGATGACATCATTCTCTTTCTAGAGGTTTCTGAAGTTAAAAACAACCCCAAAGGTTACTGTTTACTTCATAAACTCTGCTGGAGGCTGTTAAAGGGAAGCTAGCTCAGCTGGCAATGACTCAGCTGAGTACCTTTTATCTCATTTCCTTCTCTCTCTCTGGCCTAGTAAGAAAGTCTCACCAGTACCTGCACAGTCATTATACTACATTTTAAAGAGAAATTTGGAGGAGCAAAATTGAGAGGTTTGCAATTACGGAGAAATTAACTACCATCTAACTATCAAGGGCTGTATATGTCTTGCCTATAATACTCTGCTTTTTAGAAGGCTTTTTAGTAATCTTTTGCCTGGGAAATCCCACAAAGAGGGCATAAAAACTTCAAGGGCTATCAGCTATTTATTGAAAGAATCACATGTCTTACCAGTAAGGACTACTGCTCTTTCTCAAAGTCTAAAATATCTAAAAATCCTTCTTTTTCATCTAGTTTATATGGTCCTTCCCAATATAGCAGGGGTGGGAACTGATTGGCCCTCCATGTGTTGTTGGACTGTAATACCCAGCAGCCCTAACCAGCATAGCCAAGAGTGGGAGATGCTGGGACTTCAAGTTCAACAATATCTGGAGAGCTGCAGAATTCCTTCACCCACATTATAGTATTTTGTTGTTGTTGTGTGGCTGTGGTATGGTTGACACTTGGTTTAGTGCTGCTGCAGACTCAAATTCAGACTCACTCGAATTTAGCCACCGATGCTTCCTTCCACAATCATTTCTCTCTGTGCCAGGACACAGGAACCAAAGAGGACACAGGAACCAAACTGGTAGAGGGGGAAGAAGAGAGTAAGAATGAAAGAAGAAAGCATCATGAAATGAAATGAAATGCTTGCAGCAGTATTTGTGGAGAAATGTGCAATCTTGTATTTATATATGATTGAGTTCCATCGCATTTTATGGCACTTCTGTACAGATACGCTTGAGACCCATTGTCTGGAGACTAGAACAAAATTTGAATTAATTATTGAAATGTATACATGCACAAGTAGTTGGCTTACTCATAAGACAAACTCCAAAGGGCATGTTGTGGTAATACCCTTTAGGCCAAAACTCCCATCCCCTTCCAAAAAAAAAAAAAAAAATTGCATAGAGATTTTGTGCCTTTTTGGCTAGCCTAATAAAGATATTACTACACTAGAGACCTTGAATGGTTGAGATGTGTGTGATAGTGAAGTTCCATCTTCAGCTGAGATTATTTGATGTGCCTCTTTTGGAGTCTGTGGAGGTTATGGGTATTTGCCTTAACAGCAGGCTTGCTGCCTTTCTTTATCAATCCTATTTTGCTACTGTTGTTTTTTAGCAACTTGACTCTCAACAATTCATTCTTTATTGTTATTTTTACATTTCTGTACTACCTTTCCTCCTCCTTCCTCCCCCCTTTCCTACCTTATCCTCATAACAACCCTGTGAAGTAGGTAAGTGAAGTAGGTAAAGCAATGAGTACTTTCCTCTGCAGCCCTGTATTTAGTGATCCACTTATTTACTGTACTGTATTTACTGTCAGTACTGTATTTACTGATCCACTTATTTTATGGTGCTTCTGTACAGATATGAACAAGACACATTGGTTGGAACCTAGATCACAGAAAATCTTATGGCTCAAGGAGAACTTGAAGTTTGTTCTCCAACACCAGTAAGTAATCACTACACCATGGTGGTTCTCATGTCTGATTTGTTCACATATTATTCATGTGCAGGTGAGATCTGACACATATGAGATGTAGAGATAAGGAGAGTGGAAGTTTCCACTGCCTACCACCACCCCCTTTTTGCTTCAGACACATTTCCCCTCAAGATCTTCCACTTCACTTGTAGAAATTCAGGGGCATTTTCACACTATAGAATTATAGCCCTATAGCTTCTGCCATGGTATCAATTGAAATCCTGCATTTTGTATGTTATTTGATCTGAGACACCAAAGGAGTTCTCTGGCTGTGGATTCTAATGATCCCTTGCTAAATGGCCAGTCATAGGACTTAATGGGATGGAACCATGGCAGTTAAAGTGGCATCATAGTGCTATAATTGTGTAGTCTGAAAGGTTCCTCAGTTTTTTTCTTCCAGGCTTCACATTCTGTTTTGACATAACATCCCACTTTTTTTGGTCTAAATACCAGTAATGTAGACTCAAGATGATTCAAGACTCAAGTTGAACTCAAGTCGTTTCAGTAACTCGATTTGGATTTGACTCAGCAATAAATGACACACTGACTTAATTCGCTTTGTGATTTGTATATATTTAGCAACCAACTTGCTGGCATTTACTTTGAGTAGCAGGCAAGATCCACTCTCAGGCCTAAAGGCACATTTCTCAGAGGGGAACAGCAAATGTATTAGGCAACAAGCTTGAGGTGGAAAGTTCCTTTTAAACCTCTTGAAAAACTTTAGAAGGCTCCTCTGATGTGCAATGGGGACAAGCTGACAAAAAGACCTCAAGTCCATTGCCCAACATGTTTGCTGTTCCCCTCATGTCCCATGTACTTTTTTCCTGTTAAAGTTGGTTCCCAGACTTGAGACTCAACTTGAAAGTATCTTGCAAGGACTTGAGACTTGACTTGAGACTTGAAGGTAGAGATTGAGACTTAGTGCTTGGATGAGAGTCCGCCAACAAATGCCAGGTGCCATAGGCTATATTTCAGAGGCACGAACTGGCAAAATCACCTCTTGAGTATTCCTTGCTTAAGAAAAATCTATGAAATTCATGGGGTCACCATAAGTTGACAGGCAACTTAGAGACACATGCACCACTTTTTCTTTCCCAGCTGATCATTTTTGTTATAAAACAACTTGCAGTCAGCAGTTGGCCCTCTGGAAACCCTTTTGCTGGTTCCCTTTGGGCTACTTGAAGAAAGTTAAATCATCTGGCTGTGATTATGACTCAGAGGAGTCTCGTGATCTTTTTTCTTTCCCCTAAAATCCTAAAGAGGGAGCTCTAGGCTGGGCTTATATAACACATATTTGTAATCTTTTTATCTCTGTATTTATCTTCTTGCTCTGTCATAGTTATTCAAACATTTAGCACAGCAGTTAAGGGCATTTCAGTTTGGACTGGAACATTTCCATGTCATGCTAAGATGATGAAAAATTATGCTGCTTTGACTTTTGTCCTATGAAATCATTATTCTCCTAAGAATGGCATGGATATTTAGAGAAGAAAGCAGAAATTACAGGTGTGTGAGATTTGTTCATTATGTCGGACTGGCATGAAGCGTGGGCTTTTCTTCTGCCGTCTTAATGATGTGGATGTTCTCAAGCAGCCAATTTTCTATACAGGTAGATTGTTGCTGGATAACAAGGGGGAAAACTCTGTTTGAGACTCAAGAATTGTCATCATTCTCTTGTAAAACAGCTAAGCAGGAGAGAAGGAACACACCAGATTTATTTTTAACATAAGAATTTGCCTTGATAATTAACTACAAAAAGGCCAAAAGTAACACAAGTAGTAGTAGGACTTTATCACATGGGGGAGATATCCCTTGCAGAAATGGGATTTAAAAGGTGAAAACTTGCAAAAGCAGGTAGATTTCCCAAGTAGTCAAAAGCAACTTCTTTTTACTTTTCAGAATTTCCCAAAATTAAAAAGAAGTGGCTTTTGACTACTTTCCTTTCGGGTTAAGCACAGTTTAAAAGCAGTGTCGTCTGAAAATCTACCCACTTTTGCGGGGTTTTTTTTCCTATTTAAAGCCCCATTTCTGCACGGGATTTCCCCCGTGTTATAAAGTCCGTAGTTGTGTGCCTTTGAGTCATTTCAGATTCATGGCAACCCTAAGGCAACCCTATCATGGGGGGTTTCTTGGCATGATTTGTTCAAGGGGAGTTTGCCAGATTGCCTTCCCTTGAGGCTAAGATAGTGTCACTCACTCAGGGTTTCCATGAATGAGCAGGAATTTGAACCCTGGTCTCTAGAGTCACAGTCGAACGCTCAAACCACTACGCCACATTGGCTGTCTAAAAGTAACACTATCTCTGTCGTTCAACCAAAAATATAATAATTTGATAGTAAGAAAGAATTGTAGGACAATTTAGAATAATACTTTTTTAAAAAATAACATGTAGATAGGATAGTATACTGCGCCCCCCAAAAGCATCTGCTATAACAACAGAAATAAAAGTATGATTTTTTTACTCTCTGCAACTGAAGAAAAGTGAAGAATTTCTGCCTAACATCTGAAGCACAGGGACATTCTTTATTACATGGAAAATATTCTAATGTTTTACTTTGGAATTAGAAAGTAAGTTAATTGTTTTTAAAACATTTTTCAGTTTTTTTGAAACACTTTCTATATTTCTTTTTCCTTAGGTAACAAAAAATTGGTCCTGGCCTACTCCATGGGGCTAGGTGGGTAAGAAATCATCATCATCACTCTCTTTAACTATGACAGACAAAATAAGCAGGAAATAAAGTATTTTATCTAAATTACACTTCACCAAATTGGAACAAAACATTTTATTTAACTGCATAGGATGTTATACTATGGTCATACAGTTAAAAAAATAAGAATATAAATGGTAAATAGGATAGTGAGAAAAAGATTGCTTCAACTGAATGTAAGACAGCTCAGTGAATGTATCATAAAAGTTCTGACCATAGCTGTACTGCTTTGAGAATACTGGGAACTCCTTTAAAAAACAGTAGAGCCAGTATTTGCATCCTGTTTGCATTTGTATCATCCTATGCAGCGTAGTGCAGTGGTTTGAGTGTTGGACTATAACTCTGGAGACCAAGGTTCTATTCTTGCCTCGGCCATGAGACCCACTGGGGTGACCTTGGGCAAGTCACACTCTCTCAGCCTGAGAGGATGGCGATGGCAATTCCCCCCTGAAGAAACTTGACAAGAAAACCCTATGATAGGTTTGCCTTAGGGTCACTATAAGTCAAATATAACTTGGAGGCACAAAACAACTAATGCACATTTAACACTGAACTCAGTGGGATTTTCCTGTGAATAAGCATGTATAGGAGAGTGAGAACAGTTCTCAGTGACTCCCAAACTTTGATCCTTCAATTGTTTTAGACTTCAGTTCCATGGATTCCTGACCATTGGGCTAGGGTTTCTGGGAGATGAAGCCCAAAACGTTTGGGACCTGCTTTTTCGGTAGAGTGTTCCTGCTGGCCACACTGTTGCCATTCTTCCATAGCTATTCTTGATAGTAGTATGCAGAGAGATCTTGTAGCACCTTTGAAAGAAACTGAAAGAAAGAAGTTGGCAGCATGAGCTTTTGCAGGTTTAACACAGCTATATCTTTGAATTCTATCCTTGATATTAGTATATCCAGCTGTATAACTTGTCAGAAGGCAGAATTTACTTCAGTTGATGATTGTTTGAAGAGCAGTTGGGACTTATGGGGTACTACACTCTGTGACCCCCTTGAGTTTCATTCCTGGGGAAAGGGTGGCATATAAATGAAGTGATAGATCCATTCTTCTCTGACCAATGTACCAGAAGCGTTAATCTTTCTGCACCTACAGAGACACATTTAGGTGTATTTGTACAGTTAGCCAGATATCCATCCAGTAATGTTTGTTTTTAAACATTTTATTTAAGTTTAAGTTTCATTCAACAGCCTCATCCTATCTATACCTCCCAAATGGTATCCTTCCCCAGTGATCACCTATATAAAACTCTACATTCTGTAATCCACAATTCAGTCACACTTGTAGATATACTGTACATAACACATTAATGCAATAGAGACATGTGCACAGATTGTACAACCACACTATGGAAATCCATGAGCACATCATTTTGGGAATGGTGGCGCTCCCTACAAAGGAAATAGCAGTGTTACATAGGAGAGAGGTAGATACAAAAACATTGAAATATACGTGCCACCTTTTAAAAACTAAAACAAGGTAATATGCTTCTTTTAAGCATTACTTTCCTACCCTTGGGTGTCTGAGAGGCTTGCATAAGGTCAATAAGTACAAGAATAGATACTGAAAACATTAAAGTCTATTTGCAGATATGACAACATGCTGGTAGGTCACTCTTTCCTTTCCTGTGTTAGTAGCAGCAGCAAAAAACAAAGAAGGCAATGGTGGCTACTTGCCTGCTAGCTTTTTTAACAGAGACATTCCCCTTCCCTGCATACCTATGATGAGCTATGGTACAAACACCAGGGTCGCAATGCTTAAAACACTCTCTCTCCCACACACAAACACACACAGAGGAAGGGAGAGAAAGAAAGAGAGGAAGATGGAAATAATTATGGGATGTGGTGGAGTGATTATTATGTTCTGACCTTTGAACAAGCCACACAAACTATTGTCTGGGATCCAGTCTTGTCAGATTGTACAAAAGAGATGGGGAAACTGGGAGACTCCAGAAGTTACTGGAGTCCAGCTTGCAGCAGCTTCAGCCAATCTAGCCAGTAACAGGGATGATGGGAAGTGTAGTTCATCAATATCTGAAGAATCTTTATGGCTAGGCATGCTTCTCATGATGTGTGGTCTTACCCATGCATGTTAACTCAGAAGTTAGCCCTGCTGAATTTAGAGGCGCTTACTCCCTAGTAAGTGGACACAAAACTCTTAACTGTATGTAGGCTTGTACCCCAAGACTTCTTGAGTTTCATGCAAAGGAATGGGATTGGGATGTTTACATTAATGGTTACTCAAGCCATATCTTTTGCAAGAAGACAGTAAAAGGAGGTGCTAGATGTAATACTTGCAGTGTTGTGTCGTTGTTTCTAAGTGTGTGATTCCACAAAATTTTGAGAGTAGAGGTGTGAAAGTTCTTGTCTAAAAATTAGTGGAAGAAGTTGAAAAACACCTAGTCCCTTTTTATTTATTTGTTGATCTACTGAAATATTAAATCTACTGTAAGGCTCATTGTTCAATTAAAATTAGACTAATACAAAATATACACTATAATTTCCCATTTTGGAAAGTGATTGCACCCTTTAAAGCAGTTTAAAGTGTGTGCTTCTATTAATATGCCTCTAAATTCTCTTTCTGTTATTACAGTGTTCTTCCTTGTATTTTGTCTTGTTGATATTGCTTTGCTCCTTTGTTATGACACAATGAATGTCATTTTCTGTGTTGCTAACCAGGCTCCCTCTGCTGTTTGCATCAATTATTCTCTAAAAGATTCCTCTGAGGCATGATGTACAATCATACTTTGAACTGGATGACTTCTCCACCACCCACCCTCAGGTCTGTGGAAGAACAATGGTGACAGATCACAGCTTGGTGACAGAAGACATGCACTGTTTGCAGAAGATTCCAGATTCATTTCCTGGCATCTCCAGTTTAAAGGATTTTGGATAGCAGGAATAAAAAGGACCCTTCCAGGCATGAGTCCTCAAAGAGGTGCTGTCAGAGGAGGCAATGACCTTAAACACTTTCTTCTGTTTCTGCCTTAAAACTAGTTCATGTCACATTCTACTGTATTTTCAAAAAATATGAATTATTTAATATACTCCTGTTTTTTTGTGGGTCACCATTCAAAGAGTTACCCAGCTCTATATCTGCTTAGCTCCATCAATGATGCATCACAGACCTTATCAGAGCTTAGAAACTTTACACTTTTTGACTACAACTTCCATAATCTCCATGAAAGCATGGTTGGATGTGGGATTTTGTGGGGGTACTCCTACAAAGTAATGTTTCAAAGTTCTTATCCTTCCAGCACTCCTGTAAGTTATATTGGCTGAGTTGGTATAGCTCTAGGAACACTGGCAAGGTGTTTAGGTAGGTTCATATGGCCACTTGTTTATTAGATCCTTAAAACATAAGAATATACAAAGAGCCATGTTGGATCAGACCAATGGCTTCTCTAGACCAATACTGGGCTCACACAGTTACTGATCAGTTGTCTATGGGGAGCTCATAAGCATAGCAAGAGCATTCCCCAGCAACTGGGTATACAGAAGCAGATTGTCTCTTGATCATAGAATCATAGAATTGGAAGAGACCACAAGGGTCATCCAGTC